AAGGCACCGGGTTCTAGTCCCCAGCACGCAAAAAAAAGGGGGAGGGGTCTTAACACAGGAGCTTTGGGGAACACATCATAGCCCAACCATAATACCTCATTATCCAGTCCCTTCCCCAAAGCTCTGCCTCTGAACAATCCTGCCTTGTGGAACCAAGCCTTTGGGAGACATTAAAGATCTAAACTTGTGTTCAGCATAATTGTTTTGAGATCCATCCCCATTGTTGCATTTATCACTGACTCATTCCTTTTCATTGCTGAGCATTATTCCACAATATGTACATACCACAGTTTTGCTTTGTTTGTTTGTTTGTTTTGGTTTTAGGAATTTTTTTAATGCAAGTGGAATTCACATAATGTATGGTTAACTGTTGTAAAGCATACAACTCAGTGGCATTCAAGGTATTCATAATTTTGATCAACTACCACCTAACTATATTAATAGTATTGCCTTTAAGAATAATTAAACTTTTGCATTTTTAAATTTTGCATAAATGCCTTTTTTAAAAAACATTGAAAAAATAGCCAAATAGCTCAAATTGCAGTGTCATGTCTTTCTGATTAGTTCATAACACACACACACACATATATATATATACTTACACACACACAAGAAAGCTTGAATAAGATATAGTATTCCAATTTAGTACTTTATTTACTGTTAAAGAAGCTGGATCTTAAAACCAGGCTGCCAACATATAAGGCAAGTCTGGCCTTCCAATAGCTGATGATGATGATTAAAATTTGTACTTATGAGACTACTGCCTGATCTCAGTTCCCATCAACCAACCATTGAAATAGACATGGCAGATTCTGTGTAATTCACTCTGAATGCCAAAATCCTTACTTTTCTATTATGCAATGGAAAGATTGTCAGTCTACTTTTTTTTTAAGAGACAGAGAGAGAGAGAGAATTTTAATATTTATTTTTTAGTTTTTCAGCGGACACAACATCTTTGTTTGTATGTGGTGCTGAGAATCGAACCTGGGCCGCATGCATGCCAGGCGAGCGCGCTAACGTTGGAGCCACATCCCCAGCCCTGCTCTTTTTTATTTTTTTATTTTTTTTTTTAATTTTTTAGTTGTTGATAGACCTTTATTATTTATTTATTTATTTATGGTGCTGACAATCGAACCCAGTGCCCCATACATGCCAGGCAAGTGCACTACCTCCGAGACACAGCTACATGACCATAGCAACCACCTCCACCACCATCATCATCATCATCTTCATTTAAGAAAATGAAAAGGGCAAAGCTAAGAATCAGTAGCTTCGATTCTTAGTTGTTTATTCTCTGTCTCTGTTTTCACTGTTTTTTTAATGAAGTTGAGCAGATTGATTTAACCCTGCATTTCAGTGCTGTTGTCCTGGGTCTTGATTCTGCTTTGTGTTGACTACCTTCGAACCTAAGTCTCTCATTTCTGATCTTGCCTCTTCCTTTCAGTCTCTAACTCAATGGATTTAGAGGACACCATATCCGATTATAATTGGCTTAAAATGTATGTAAATGCAGCTAATAAAGGGCTTACCATTCTCTGAAATCATATTAAGAGGAATTGTTATATAGTATTATGACAGAGGTTCCAGTGTCTATCTGCTCTGAACAAGGAATAGTTTGACAAAAGCCCCTAATGTTGCTTTCAGTAGTGTTCATATTTTTGCCACATACAGTACAGCCTCTTGGGAGACTGAGGCAGGAAAATCACAAGTTCAAGGCCAACCTTGGTAGTTTAGTGAGACTTTTTCCTCAAAAAATAAAGAGCTGGGGATGTGGCTCAGTGATAAATCACCCTCGAATTCAATCCCCAGTAACTTAAAAATATTAGTTTTTATATTTATGTACTCAGGGATTTTTTAAATGTTCACCTGTTGATGGTATCAATTAAGTAAATCAGAAAGAGATTGTCTGAAAATTTATTAATTTTTATTGGGGAATAGCATTGCAGTGAAAATAAATAAGCCATAGTAACCTTTCAGCATATTCAAAAAGGTTAGGTCAAGGAGAAATTTCTTAGCCAAAAATGAGGATGCCAGTCTGAGGTTGACAGACAGTAGCTGGTCAGATATCCTTGCAAAAGTATTTTTTTTAAATAAAATTGTAGTCGCTTTTATGCAGGGTTGTGGTTCTGGCATTAATAATGCATTACTAATGTGGTTCTGGTAATTACTAATAGGCAATGGTGTGAGAAACTCTTCCTTCATAACCTCACAGCTTTTATTTATTTATTGTTTTGTTTTTACAAGTAAATCTATTTTTATTCTGATAACTTTCACAATGAATAATTGGACTATTTCCTAGGTTTTATCTGTTGTGTACATATTTTTGTATGAACATGTGTACTCATTTGTCTTGGGTAATTAATTAATACTGAAATGACTAGGTCATATGATAGATATGTTATTAACTTTTTTAAGAAACTGCCAGACTGATTTCCAAAGTAGTTGTAGTATTTAAAATAACATAAAATCTGAACACTTAACAATAGATCAATAGACTTTATAACAAGAGTGACTGGGGTGGCATGTCCAAGAAGGATTTGTTGAAAGGGAAGGGAAGAGGAAGGGAGAAAAGAAGTGTAGGCGGGAAGGAAGTTAATTGGTCAGGAAGCCCTCTCACAACCGGTGCCACATTCTGGGGCAGAGATCTTATATTTAACAGCTTTTAATATCTGCAACAGTCTGTTTTAAAACAAAGCTGTTTACTTAGAATGCTTGTATTATAAACTGTATTTGTGCTTAAATAGCTTCCAGCTGTGATAGCTTATCCCTTTGTTGTATGTACATAGTATCATAACAAGTCATTCCTGCCTAGCCAGTCAATTGCATTGACTCAGATGGGGCCACTTTATGGATGAGCTGAATCTTTTTCCTCCTTAATTTTTACTGCAAACAATAGATATTTTATGCCTGGAAAGATGATTCATTTATTTATTGTTACACTTGGGGATAGGCTATAGCTTACTGGCAGAGTATGTATTTTAGCATGCTCTAGGCCCTGGGTTTAGTCCCCAGCACCAAAAAGGTAGGTGGGTATGTAGATTGATTCAATCTGTGTGTGGAACACAGAGGTATATAATATAGATGATTTCTATTTGTGGAGGTTACAGTATCATGGGAAAAACACACCTTAAATAAATAATTATATGATAATTAATTGCAATTGTGATAAATGCTTTAAAGGAAAAGCAGAAAATGTGTTCTGAGATAAACCTAAACCAATTTGAAAAGTATTAGGTCAGGAAAGTAAAGTCAAATTAAAATTTTAAACATCTTAAATATTTCCCCATTTAAATATAGAAAGGTAAGATTACTTTCATAATTTGTTGATTGTATTGTAGAGATAGATTAATTTGAAAAGATGCATTATCCATAAAGGCAGAGGATCCTTAGAAGTTCAATTCTTTATTTTAATAGATGTCTAAAAAGAAAGACAATATTTACCCCAAAACACATAGCTTGCTACTGACAGGGCTAGAACTCAAAACACAGGTCTGCTAGTCTTCTCTCTTCTATTACCTGAAAATAATTATCAAATATAGATCAGCAATGGTCAAATGAACTATTAAGGAGCCACTCTGTATAAATTGTGTTTGGGGTAGGGAAATGAGTTCATAGAGTAATGCATTAGGCAAATACAGATAAACACAGAAAAACAAAAATATTCCTTAGCAGTTTGATTGTATCTAGTCATAGTAAAACCTTGGTTAATAGACCCAAATGAAAGATAATCAGTTGAAATTAGTGAAATGTAATTAAAGAAAAATGCTCCTACAACTTTAAAATGTAAATACTAAGTGCTAAATAAGATGCTTTTAAAATTCATTTTTATTCATGTATATTATTTGACATATAAATTGTTCTGACTGCTTTGTAGCCTGAGTGATCTCTAAGGTTAAACATGGTTCTGGATATTTTATTACCAAATATAATTTCCCCAATATACCCTTATACCCTTTCATCATACATAGTATAACACTCAGCTTCAGGTTAGCAACATCTAATTCTTCCTGATTTTTTTGTTTGAAAGACTGAGAATCAGTGAAATATTACAATTCTTAACAGAGCTTTTATTTTGAGACAGGGCCTCACTAGATTGCCTAGACTGGACTAGAACTTATCCTCTGCCTGCCTTAGTCTCCGAAGTGCCATTGTGCCCGACAAATTTCCAGTTTTATAGGTCAAAAATATTCAAATATTGATGACTTTACATGGTTCAACCTAATACACAAATGACTAAAGGGAACCAACACTAATGTGGACAGGTGTGGGTATTTATTAAAGTTTGAGTACAAGTATATTATTGGCTACACTGCTGAGCTTTGCAAATGAGAAATTCTGTTAGTGAATTAAATTTTAATTTCATATGAAATCATGATTTAAATATAGGCAGATGGTATATACTCACTTCAGAAGCTAAAATATTGAACAAGATTTTCGAACTTAGGTAACTTCTGTTACTTGCACTTCATGAATATAAATGTAGTGGTAAAATACTTACTTGATGAACAAAGTTTTACTGCTGAGGTGTCGAATGAGGTTAACATAACAAGCATATTTTACTTTTCATTCTTCCCAGTCCTTAGTCCCACTGATGAACAGTCTCTAAATTAATCTTAGAAAAAAATCAAAATAAGGGCAAAAAGGAACTAATAATTATGCAAATGAACTAGTGCCAGATGCTTTGTTAGACAGTTTCATATTGTTGCATTTAATTCTCACAATAACCCTAGAAGACAAATATTATGTCTATTTTACAATTAAGGAATAGAGAGATCTAGAAAGGTTAAATAACTTACACAGTTTATAAGTAGCAGAGCTAGAATTTAAACATCTTTACTATTTATTACCATATTACTCATTGGTTTTTTATGTCTGGTACACCTAAAACATTCCTTATTTAATAATAAATTCATGCAGAAATAATATAAGGGGGTTAACATCAGTTTTTTTCCTTTAAAAAAATATAAAAACTCAGTTGACTCTTTTTTCTTTCTTTTAAGGATGAACGTGAAGCCAGAGAAAATGTGAAGAGAGAGCAAGATGAGGCCTATCGCCTTTCACTTGAGGCTGACAGAGCAAAGGTAGGTTTTGTCAAGGTACTTCTGGAATATAGATATACTCCTGGTCTTTGATTATCTGAATATCAGCCCTTTTATTACTTTGAACCGCCAAAATATTGGATTTGCAATAGGGAGAGCTAGATTTAATAAGAGAAAACATAATTCTATCCATAATCCTTAAAGCATGGTTCATTTAGACAAAATAAAGTTTGTCAGAATCATAAAAATAACAATAAGAATGAGCCTACAGTATTTTATTTATTATTTATTGGTCTGTCATACAGCCTAACAGTTTAAAAAAAATAACTCTAGGTGATTCTAATGTGTAGTCACTGTTAATGACACTGATTTGTTTAATCTTAGAAAAAAATAAAAAATTTGATTTTCTTCTTCAGGACCTGCTACTGTATTGGGTTTTGAAAATGGAGTGGAAAATGTATAAGCCATAGTTTCTGCCCTCAAAGGAATACTGATAAATGTGGTTGATTAGATTAAGTCAATAACACTAATAGCTGTAACATAAAACAAGGATCCTAAGTGCCATAAGAGAAGCACTGAGTTTTGAGAGAGTTCATGGAGCAGGAGTTTCATTAGAAAAATTTTCCCAACCTTTTTGGATAACCAGAAAATGGGAATGTTCTCTGGAATATTTCATAGAAGTGATACAAGTAACTATACAGGGAAAGAAGAAATAATATAAGCTAGTACCCAGAAAGCATACACAATGAATAAAGGCTGATATGACTAGAGTTCAAGATTTGGGGACAAACTCAGAAAGTCAAGGGTTGCATGTTTTCTCTCATATGTGGAAGCTAAAGAGGAAAAAGGAAAAGAAAGGTAGAGACAGAGCTCATGAAAATCAAAGAGAGATCAGCAGAAGAAAGGGACCCAGAGGTGAGAGATGGGTTTCGAGGAGTGATATTGGCCAAATTATATCATTACACTGTGTACATGTACAAATAGGTAACAACAAATCCCATCATTATGTATAACTATAATGCACCAATTTTTTAAAAAATGTAGAAAAAAAGAAAGATCTGGGGACAGGAGAGAGATCAGAAAAGGCCATAAAGGAAGATGAAAGAGAGGAAGGAAGGTTCTTGAATGACACATTACCCAAAGTGCTCAAAGCATTACAGTAGGAACCTTTTATATCTGTTCTTATTCTGGAGAGAAGCACTGCTATTACCACTGTGTACCTCTGAATTTTGTTAAATAAGGCCTTTGAGTTTCGCTTTGGTTTTGGTTTTTTCCTTGTTTAAGGTAAACAAGTATTTATTAGCCAGGCACAGTGAAGCATGCCTATAATCCCAGATAGTCTGGAGGATGAGTCAATAGGATTATAAATTCAAGGCTAGCTTGGGCAATTTAATGAGACCATGACTCAAAATAAAAATCAGAAAGGGCTATAGATGTAGTTTAATGGTAGAGCACTTGCCTAGCTTGTATGAGGCCCTGGGTTCAATCTCCAATAATTAAAATTTTATTTATTAAAAAAAGAATATAATATTTATATATATACATATATTACATGCTTGCTCCCCATCTATTTTATCAACAGAGGGAAGCTCATGAGAGAGAGATGGCAGAACAGTTTCGTTTGGAGCAGATTCGCAAAGAGCAAGAAGAGGAACGTGAGGTGCGGCATAATTTTAAGAAAAATTATTCAAAGCTGGGTTGTATTACTGTATTTGATACTAAGGCTGTTAATATTTCTTACAACTTATTTCTTTTTGCCTTTTCAGACTCATTTTAGAATGAAAGACCTTTCTTTATTCCTGATCTTTATATCTGTTCACATACTAGATTTATGGTTTTCTATTATCTTCAATTCTGTTTCCCTTTTGTTACCTAACAGATGCTTCCCATCCTTCCTGGATACTGTCTCACTCCAATAACATAAAGACTGTATTTTTTTTTCCTTCCCTGTGTTTGACGTTACCTATCAAAAGATATTGCGAGTTACTTATGCAGCATCTTGCAGATGTACTTGGCTGATTTTTTTTTTACTCTGAGTTTATGTCTGCATCAATGTAGAGAATTTATATTCACTTGTTTTGGAAACATTTTTTGAATACTCAATACTTAGAGGATAGTGATGCAGACATGGGTTCTGCCCTTCAGGAGTTCATAGTCTTATAAAAAGAATTATAGTACTATTTGTAAAAGTTTTGATAGATTTAGACCCAAGTGCAGTCAGAACAAAAAGAAGGGTGTCAAATGACCTTAAAATAGCTTTACAGAAAGGGATTTTTAATACTTTTTTCTGGACATGGGATTAATGGCAAGATTCATTTATAAAAAGAGGAAGCCATCAAATCAATTATGGAAAAAATTGGAGATCCCTAACTGGGGCTGAGGAAAATCCCATTAGTCAGCATTCTTGGTCAAAGGATGCTACATCCTTCATTTATTCTTTTTTACCTATCTCACTTTTTTTTTTTTTTTTTTGGAAGAGAGAGAGAAAGAGACAATTTTTTAATATTTATTTTTTAGTTTTTGGTGGACACAACATCTTTATTTTTATTTTTTGTGTGGTGCTGAGGATAGAACCCAGCGCCCCGCGCATGCCAGGCAAGTGCACTACCGCTTGAGCCACATCCCTAGCCCTCACTTTTTTTTTGAACAGGATAATAAAATGTTTTCTACCTACAAAACCAGATTACAAGCTAAGCACAGTAGCACATGCCTGTAATCCCAGTAACTTGGGAAGCTGAAGCAGAAGGATCACAAGTTCAAAACCAGGCTCAGCAATTTAGTGAACCCCTATCTCAGAATAAAAAGGGCTGGGGATGTGGCTCAGTGATAAAGAGCCCCTGGGTTCAGTCAATCCCCAATACAAAAAAAAAAAAAAGGCAGATTATATTCTTGTACAGAAGATACAACATGTCTGCAAGTAACAGCAAATCTGTATGCTAAATGATACAGGATATGCAAAAGCAAAATACCTGGGGATTTCAAGGGCATAAGAAAAATCCTTTACAGCTTTGATAATTAGACAACAAATGGAAGGAGTAATTTGAGCCTGGTCTTAAAAGATGATGAAATGTCACTGTTTGGAAATGAAAACTTATTTAATACTTAACACATATGTACAAGATGCCATGCCTACAAACCCTAGTTTCTGTGCTCTGATTGCTAAGAATATTTTGTTGAGCCTCTTTTGTGTATCAAACTCTGCAAGCTGCTTTGCATACAGTTACTCATTAACCATTAAAACAAATACAAAGTTAGAAATTCTCCAAAAAAATGAGAAAACTGAAGCTCATTGAATTACACATGTAGACACCTAGGTCTTTATGACTACAACTCAAGCTCTTTCTCACACTACATTTTCAGTCCAAGGCCATAAATCATAATATGTGTCTGTAGGAGTTATATATGTAGAGTTTCATGCAACTTTAGATAAGGGAGAGATTGGTCATTATCCTTTTAGGCTGTATTCCAGGAAATATAGGTTAAAAATAGGATTCCTGCTTCTTTGTGCTCTGTTTCACACATGCTCACTCTCTCTTACTAGTATATCTTCAAGTATACTAACTGGCTAAAATGTCAAGAGTACACAATTAACTTTACATTCTGAATTTAGAGCCTGGTAACATATGTACTTTCTTCTGATGGACTTACATAAACTCTGTATGGGTTGAACATCCCTAACCTGAAAATCTAAAATGCTCCAAAATTTAGTGCAAGTTTGAATAATACTGTGTACTCTGCCATCCCTCACTCAGGAGTCACAATTAAATGTTGTTGTAAGTCCTGTCGTTAAGAAACTTTTGAGGGGCTGGGGATGTAGCTCAAGCTGTAGCGCACTCGCCTGGCATGCATGCAGCCCAGGTTCAATCCTCAGCACCACATACAAACAAAAATGTTGTGTCTGCCGAAAACTAAAAAATAAAAATATTAAAATTCTCTTCTCTCTCTCTCTCTCTCTCTCTCTCTCTCTCTCTCTCTCTCTCTCTCTCTCTTAAAAAAAAAAAAAAGAAAGAAACTCTTAAGAAACTTTTGAGGACTGGGGTTATAGCTCAGTGGTAGAGCACTTGCCTAGCATGTGTGAGGAACTGAGTTCTACTCTCAGCACCACATATAAATAAGTAAAATAAAGGTCCATCCACAACTAGAAAAAAATATTTTTTTTAAAAAAAAGAAACTATTGGTCTTAATTTTGTTCAGTCTATCCAAATTTATTTGATTCTTTTTTTTTCATGGAATATCAGTTAATATATTTCAGCACACTAGTCTACTATAAAACTACAGTACCAGGGAATAGCTGGTATTGGGCAACCTCTGAGAAAAATGAGACTCAGAAAGATTATATGGTTTGCCTGTCATTACCAAAGTGGTCAAACACATAATCTGGATCAGAAGCCAGGTCACCTGACTTTTCACAGTAACACTGCCTCCCTTCTAACTGGAAATCCTAATCCATATAATTACATTGAGAAACAAGAGTGGTTTTATTATTTTTATTATCTCCAGTATTTCAAAGTCCTTTAGAAAAATGAAGTATTGAATAGTCAAAGCACTGTAGTCCCAGGGAAATTACTAAGTGATCAGCCTCATTTTGCTGTATGGTAACTTTTGGATTGTAGTTAGTAAAATGTAGAAAGCTTTTTTTATCTGGTTCTTAGCCATAAGGGAAAAGCTCTAAAGCAATTCAAAGGAAAAACAAAGAAATTACAGCTAAAATCTTCTCTCTTTTACTCATTTACATATTTACTTTAATTCCTTCTAAAATCAGTTTCAAGTAACAAATATAAATATATGCAATTCAAAGGGATTTAAAAAGGAAGAATAGGTATAGAAGTGAGGGTAAAGAAAAGCTAAAAGGAAGTGAAAGGAAGTGAAAGTGAATGGTAAGACTAAATGTTGACAATAGATAATCCAACCCAGGCCCCAGATGCATATAATAGGGTCTGTACCTTTATTCAATATTAGCCACAAAATTTGTTCTGTACTTCTCTTGGGCCAACACAAAGGAAAATATGATAGTTGAGAAGTTTTACTTTGTGTGTAATATTAAAGTGTGATAACTTAGAAGATCTCTTGATTTTTCTAGCACTAAGCAATGTTTCTTGTTGGTGTCTGTTCAGGATCTTTGAATAGTATTGCCAGCCATAGCTATAATAACAAGTCTGTCTGACAGCTGCTTATACCTTTTAAAATATAAAATCATAAGGCCAGAGCACAATTTAGTAAAATCATCTTTGTAAAGGCCCAAATGATAGTAAGTAGTGAGATGTATGAACTACAGAGCATCCAAGAAATCCTTCCTGAATACTTTTTTTTTTTTTTTTTTGCCACCAAATTTTGGGCAAGTAAAGAAAGTTTCAGCTAAAATTTTGACTCTCAGTTCTTTGGTTCAGTGAGCGTTCAGCAGATATTTATCAATCTTATTCTACATGCAAACATTAAATCAACTGCTGTGGATATTTATTTAACTCACATTATGTTATGTATAAGTCAGTCAAGCCCTTGGAATGTTTTTTACAAGTAAGTCCAACATCAATTCATATAATATAACTATCAGAAAAGATACTATGTTAGCCAGACACTATGGGGCAAGCCTCTAATCCCAGCAGTTTGAAAGACTAAGGCAGAAGGATAATGAGCTCAAAGCTAGCCTCAGTAATTTAGCAAGACAACTTTGTGAGACCCTGTCTCTTAAGAAAATGTTGTTGTTGTTTTTAAAGGACTGAGGATGTGACTTGTAGAATAACTATATGTAAATTATTCCCTAATTTTACAATGGAAAAAAAAATCATTGAGCAGCCTTCTCAGGGCCGTATAAAAATCTAACCACTCCTGTATTTCCTCTTTAACTTCAACAGCTCTTCCTCTCCCCTCACTCATTCCATTCCAGCCACATTGACTGTCCTGCTGTTTTTCAAACAATTTAGGAACAGGACCAAGGCTTTGGCACTTGTGATTTCTGCTTATTATTACACTACTAGGTCTAAATGTCCATGTGGCTCTTTAGGTCTTTTTACTTACTGAGATTTACAGTATTTAACAAGTGTACCCACTTCTCTTCTCCCAGTGTTCTCTGCTCTCCCCCCATAGTACTCATCACTGTGATGAGTCTTTCCCATATGTGTTTTTGTTGTCTTTCTCCCCATCCTACTAGAATATAAACTCCATTTAAGCAGAATTTTTTTTTTATCTATTTCATTCACTGCTATTTTCCCATCATCTAGAATAATGCCTAACTCAAGGAAAGTCCTCACTAAGAATTCATGGAATTAATGAATGTTAGTTTTAGCCTATTTAACCTGGGTCTATAAACTGTTATTTGGTATGTAGCTGTAGAAGCAAAGAGAATAGTGGGTGTGGGTGTGTGTGTTTATACATGTTTATGTGTACGTAAATCAAGCCAATCTTTGATTCTTATTTTAAGAGATTGGTGTAAGTATACATTATCTTTTCTTTTTAAAAAATGAAATTGTGTAGAAACAAGTAAGTCCAACATCAATTCATATTTTCTTATAGCAGATTTTCCTTATTTTATCTCAAACCTAAAATAATGCAAATAAAAAACTATATTTGTTGAGCAAACCAAATTGAAGTTTAACAATGATGTTTACTTTGTTGTTTGAGTGTATGTGTCCTTTATGTCATTATTTTACAACAGTGTTTGCTTACATGAGGCCTTTTAGCCAGTGTTTGGAACTGGACCACTGGTGTATTTTTATTCTTTTTGCCAGTAAAACTGATGGGTATTCAGATATCAAGGTTGCTAACTTACCTAATAAATCTTCATTGTTTTCCATATAGTGTGGGATATCCAAGGTCTGTTTTACATTCTGGGGAAAAGCCCTGGAGACTGTGTAAACTGAGGAGCAGATATTGTCTGCCCTATGAATGGAGTAATGAGCTACTGTTGTTTATTCTTCTATAGTATAATTGGTTGAATTCAGACAATAATGTAGCATTTGTTGTTAATATTGTGTAGGGAAATGTCAAAATAGAAAGCAAGCAGACAGGTGGATTAAAGGGAGGGCAGGAGGGGAAATCAGGAAATACCAAATTAGAGTTCTGGTTTAAAGTAGGTACAAAGTAATAATCATAATGGCAACAAGACCAACCACTGTGCTTTGTTGTTGTTAATGTAGCATACAGCATGAGGTTGATACTGAGAATTTGTCACTGAATGCTGACCATGTGTCAGCACTTTGTGTTTTAAATTATTACTCTATTTTATAGGACTTTGTAAGAAAGTTGTTATTGACCTTGTTTCTTATATGAGGAAACCGAAGGTCATACAGACTGTCATTTGTCTAGTGGCTAGTATTTTGGTTCTGTTCTTTCATACCTTAAAGCCTATGTTCCTAAACATACCACTGGATTGAACTAGGGTTTTTTAAAACCTCACTGTTAAAAGTCAGGATAGTGATTGACTTTGAGGAGATTTAGCACCCAGAAAGGAGGCATGTTTTTGAGATACTTGATCACAGTGCTAGTTTTACAGGTATGTGGACTTTCTGAATTTTTTTCAAGTTCTACACTTAAGATTTGGGTACTTTTTCTCAAATATGTTATACTTTAATAAAATTTTAAAACAATTACAAAATATGTACCTTTGAACAAAAAAATAAAAAGATTAATATAATATTGATTTAAATTTTGCAAAAGGTCAAAAATACATACATTTAAATTTTATAAAAAGTTTAAAAAAAGAATGAATGGTGCTGGATGCAGTGGTGCACTGTTATCCAAGCTATTAGGGAGCCCAAGACAGGAGGATTGCAAGTTTGAGGGCTGCATGGCAATTGAGTAAGATACTATCTCAAGATAAAATAGAAAGAGCTGGGGAAGTAGCTCAGTGTTAGAACACTTGCCTAGCATATGTAGGGCCCTGGGTTCAATTCCAGTACTGCAATGATGAGGTGATAAAAAAGTACATTCATTTGGAATTAGTGGTGATGGTTGCATGAATGTACTTAGTGCCACTGAATTGTACACTTAAAAATGGTTAAAATTATTGTTTAAGTTAATGGGTATAAATACTTAAATGATGAGAATGATTACTTATTGATGGTGACTTTAGAAAATCTAGGTTACTTTTAATGTTTTCCCTATTTAATCTTTGTTTTTCAGTGAATATGTATTACTCTTATAAGCAGGAAAAATGATTTTTAATCTCAAAGAAACAGTAGTGGTACTGATAGATGACCCCACTAATAGTATAGAAAATGTATATGACTAATCCTCCTATAAGAGACTCATGGTTCACCCTTAAGGGACACATATGTTAATGCTATTGATGCTAGAAGGAGTCAGACATCAGAAAAAAGAGAATCAGGATGTTGACTTCTTTGTTACTAGAAGTAGAAGCCATGAGATTTCAGATTCTTTACACATTTATTAAACAAACACCTGTCATGTGCCTGTCACCATACAAAGCAGTTTTACATGCCTTATTTGAATTAGCATGTTAATTATTCCCTCCATTACCAAATATATACTAAACACTTACTTTGTGCTATGCTATGTGCTTCTTAAAATATGAAGACATACTCCCATGCAATAACAGAGCTGCAGGTCAATGGGAAAGCTAAACATTAGACAAGAATAGTGTAATATAGTGAATGCTATAGTAGACATGTTACAACTGACATTTAATTTTAATATATACACATTTATGTATATATTCATATATATGTATATTTAGTATATATGCATGTATATATATCAAAATTTGGTTATTAATATATGACAGTGTTACTTAAGTAGATTAATATTTTAAATACTCACTTGAAACTCATTGTGACTCAAAATACCAATATTAGATAAATTTCCTTTCATACTATCAAACAAAAAAAATGGCAGAAATGACTGGTTTAACTAACTGTCCTTTTAATTTTTAAATTATATTTCTTAATTTTCTGGGCTTCAATTATCCCCATTTAAAAAAAGAGAGAGAGAGCGCATAGGACTGTTTGGCCAGTGTAGCCCCTTCCTGGTGTGATATTCTGTATATATCTTATCTCATAATAATAAACAACCATTCATTAAAGCCTGTTGTATCAAATGCTGTTAGTCAACTTTTCATTAACTGTGGGCAAAATATCTGGCAAGAACAACTTAGAAAAGCAAAAGTCTATTTTGGCTGATGGTTTCAGGGTTTCAGTCTATGGTCTGCTGGTTCCATTGGAATGGGCCTGAGGTGAGATAAAACTTCATGGCAAAAGGGCACAGTGGAGAAAAGCTGCTTAGCTTATGCTAGCCAGGAAGCTGAGAGTGAGGGTGGAATCAGGGAGAAGCCAGAGAGACCTAATACAATCCCTCACAGAACACCCCCCATCAATCCTCTACTCATGGGTTTAATCTCCAATACATATACATTCATATTTATATATTTTTTATTCCAGTATTTTGCAGATTCTTCAGTTATTTCTAATTAATAAATATGTTTTCTCAAATACGAAATTTCTCTTTTTTTTTCTAACTCAGGATATGCTTTTATAATGACTTTGTTCTCAATTTTTCTTCTACTTGTTTTTTCTGGGGAAGAATTTTTCCCAGCCTTTTTGGTCTAACTCTTAATTTACTTCTTTTTCTTTCCTTTTTTAACTTTTTGGTTTTATTTATTTATTTATTTGAAGTGGGATCTCGCTGTGTTGCAGGGACTGGTTGTCTGTGTTGCAGGGACTGGTTTTGAATGCTGGGCTGAAGTGACCTACTCCTCCAGCTACCCCAGTAGTCCTTTCAAATTAGAATGGGCTGATTAGGTTACAGCTCTCATAATCTAATCATTTCACCTCTGGAAATTCCTGCATTGACAAAGGAGCTTTGGAGGGCCCACATACCAAACCATAACAGATACTGCGCTAAGAATTTTACATATATCATGTTTATAATTCCCATCTCTGTAATCCCCTCTAAGGTCAGTGGTATTAGTGCCTATTAGTAGGAAAATGACCTCTGAAGCATGGAAGAGATTAGCTTTCTCTGCACATTGCAGAAGTTTTTACTGCTTTTTAAGAAAATATTTTAATATTAGAATCAGTCAAATTAAGTGATACAGAAATTAAATAATTTCTTATCATACTCATATCTGTGCAAACTGTTTTTCTGTTGGTTATTTTAGATGTTTTAACAGAAAATACATTTATATAAGTAAAAAAAATATAAAAAGACATATTCAGGAAACTATGTATCCTTATCCATCCTGCTTCTTCCACTTTCTATGCATTACATTTTTTTCATTTCTTTGTATTTGCATATATTTATTTTCTCCAAAGAACCAATTTATTTACTGACTAGTTTTTTTTTCTAACTCATTCCTTTATACTTTTATAATTATTCTAAATTTTTCTTCCACTTGTTTATTTATTTATTTATTTATTCATTCATTTGTACATTTTGGTGCTAGGGGCTGAACTCAGGGGTACTTAGCCACTTGTTTATTTTTGGAGGAACTTTTCCCAACCTTTTAATCTAATTCTTAATTTACTTTTTTTTTTAACTTTTTACTTTTATTTGTGTGTGTGTGTGTGTGTGTGTGTGTGTGTGTGTGTGTGTGTGTGAACTCTCGATCCTCCTGTCTCAGCACCTCCGGGTTCGATCCTCAGCACCACATACAAACAAAAGATGTTGTGTCCGCTGAAAACTAAAAAATAAATAAATAAATATTAAAATTTCTCTCTCTCTCTCTCTGTCTCTCTCTTTAAAATAAAATAAAAAATAAAAAGGGCTGGGAATGTAGTTCCATGGTAAAGCGCCTCTGGGTTCGTTCCCTGGTACCAAAAAAATGTGTATGTGCGTGCACACACACACATTCCAATATTTTGTTGATTCTTTGATTGTTTCTAATTAGTCAATGAGTTTTCTTAAATATGAATGTGTGTGTGCATGCACATGTGTGTCTTTTGTGAATGCTTCTAATACCCTCATTTATACCCTAAAAAGCATCTGGGTATTTGATATCTGTTTCCTCAATCACAAATGTCTGAGTTCTTCAGTTTAGAGGGGGGAGGGGGAAAGCCCTTATTTTTGAAGTAGTTACCTATTGGTTTAATAAAACATGTCTTCAATGCGGGATATAGTTTAATGAATTGTCTTTATTAATATTAAGAAAATTTTAAAACACCTGATTTTATTGTTCAAGCATTAGTGTTGCTTAATAAATGGAGCAGTAACTTTTTGATGAGTTCCTAGAAAGTAGCAGCTGTGTTCTAGTCTCTCCCACTCCCTACAGCCCATCTATCTTACATTTTAACACCTGTTTTTTTTTTCTCTACTTAGGCCATCAGACTCTCCTTAGAGCAAGCCCTGCCTCCAGAACCAAAGGAAGAAAATGCTGAGCCTGTGAGCAAACTGCGGATCCGTACCCCCAGTGGCGAGTTCCTAGAGCGGCGTTTCCTGGCCAGCAATAAGCTCCAGATTGTCTTTGATTTCGTTGCTTCTAAAGGATTTCCATGGGATGAATTCAAGTTACTGAGCACCTTTCCTAGGAGAGATGTAAGTTGCCTTTCTCATCATAGGCAGTGTGTTCACATAGGAGATCCCATCATTGTGGCTAGGAAAAGTAGTCCAAAAAAAGATCAAATGGTAGTCTTCTAAAAGACACCCAAAGTCTCTTTATTCTGCACATCATTCTCTCCTCATCTTTTGAAGAAGGTAAGGCTTACCAGGCCAGCAAACACAGCCAGGAACCCATGTAAGAAATTCTTTTCTTTACTATCTAGCTTTTTCCCCTATTCCACCACTCATATAGGCTTTTCTTTTATTTTTTGCCTCAGAGTATACCTAAAAATTGTGTGCTTAACAGCCTAATTGTTCGATCAGGATCAAAGTTTTGGTTCAAAGAGTATTTTGTGATTTGAGGGATTTTTGTTTTGTTTGCAGTACTAGAGATTGAACTGAGGGGGCTTTACCACTGAGCTACATCTACAGTCCTTTTTATTTTTTATTTTGAAATGCGATCTCACTAAGGTGATGAGGCTGACCTCAAACTTGCAATTCTCATGGTTGAGCCTCCCAATTCACTAGGATTACAAGCATGCACCATAGTTTTACTTTGATAGTTTTACTAGCCTGGAAAGACAAGTATGATGACCATGTTTACTGTGTATCTGTATTTCAACAAAAGTATTTGGTAATGTTTCATAGTATTCATGGACAAGGTAGAGAGAGAGAGATCTACAGTTAGATGTATTCATTACTGAATAAATGGTTATGTCCAGAAAATGTTGATTGCTATCTCCCTGGTGGAAACCAAGAGGCTCTTTATTTAGTTCTTTATTACTTACTATATATATCGACATCCTATACAAAGACTTTCTCTGATTTGTGGATAATGAATAATAAGATTCAAGAAAACCTTAAAATATGAAACAATGGACAAAATGAAGCTTCCAGAATGCAGAGCAGGGCTGGTAGGAAGCAGAAAGAACTGAAAATCATGTCATCTGAGGAATATATCCTCTAGAGAAGGAAAGGGCATGGAAGACATTGTTGTTGTCTTCAACTACTTCAACTACTTGAAGGCTTGCCATATAAAAGAGGTATCTTACTTTTTCAGGCTTTAGGGTAGAACTGGGATCAATTTGTTGAAAGTTACAAGGAGATACATTTGGGCACTTTCTAAGAAAGGAATATCTTGTGTTGTAAAGAAGTTTTTCTATCTTTGGAGATAACAATTAGTTCTCTTTTCCACAATACAGATATGTATTTATGGACAATTAGTTCTCTTTTCCACAATACAGATATGTATTTATGGAGAGGGATCCATTCCTAGTGTTTCTGCTTTACATGGAATTGGACTAGCTCAACTATAAGACATAGTTTAATGTTCTATGATTCCATTATCATCTAAGTCTAGTAACCTGGACTTCATCTAACATACCAAAACTAAGTATTTGGTTAAGACTTATCCGGGTCCCTCATATTGACTATTAGATTTGCAGGACAGAATCAGAAATGAGTGGTATATATATAACTCTATCAGCCCGCCATAAATCCCCTCTGGGTGGAATGAGTATTCTGCTTACATCTGAGTCCAGGAGGGTATTGTGGACTCCAGGTGGTTGTAGCCATTGGTCCTTTTCTCAGTGCCCTTTCTACTACTCTGAGCCTTTTCCCCCTTATTCATATATAAAGCACACAAACATGTACAAGATAAGGAATGCACATGCTCTTACCACACAGTCAGGTAAGAAAGTACCTTAACCTATTAAGTCCCAAATTTTCAATTCTGAGAATATTGACACAGTTGCATTAAAATAGTTTGTAGGGCTAGGGTTGTTGCTTAGTTGCAGAGTGCTTGCCTAACACATGTGAGGCACTGGGTTCCATCCTCAGCACCGCATAACAAATAAAATAAAGGCATTCTGTCCATCTACAACTCTAAAAAATTTTTTTAAAGTGTTTGAATCATAATTTAGAGCTTTTATATGTGATTATATCTATTAATATTATAATTATTCCATCATAATATAATTATCTAATTCTTTTATAGTTCTACATCTGGAACAATGGGGCAAAATGGGTTAAATTCTGTCACTGAAATTGAACTCTCAGTAACTGAGTATTTGTTTATTTATTTATTTATTTTAGTTGTAGTTGGGCACAATACCTTTATTTGTTTTTATGTGGTGCTGAGGATTGAACCCAGGGCCCCACACATGCTAGACAAGCAACTCTACCACTGAGCCACAACCTCAGCCCCTCAGTGTCTGAATATTTAGAAAAAAGCCATTATCAGGGGGTTCAAGATCAGCCTGTTTCTCTTTGCTTTATATTCTGCAATGAACATCTCATCTTGAAGAGCTGACTAACTTAAGACCTAAATGAATCCTTCCTATTCATTGGTTTTAAGTCACTCCCCTTCTAGGCCTTATCTGTAAAATGAAGGTAGTAAAAGAAGTAAAGTGAAAGAAATAAGGACCTTCCTGGTCTTTAAAATTAATTTGAAACAAAATTAAATCTGATTATAGATGGGTGGGGGAGAAAATTTTTTTTTAAAGATAGATTTTCTCTTCAGTGTTAACAACCTCTTCTTACATGGTAAAAAAAATGTAGACTAAAAAGTTGCTTTTGAAAAGAAGCAGGAGAACTTGATGTAGGATACATGAGGCTGAACATCCAAGGAATTTTTAGGAAGCAGGTTTATTTAAGCTGCAGCTGACTAGAGGGACTAATGGCTCAAAAATCTTTTGGACCCCAGGTCTGGAAATTGTTTTAGATTTATACTCAGTGAGATGGTAACACTACAGTGGGTGGGTTCATAATAGTTACTTTTTGTTCCACATTCTTAGGTCAGACAGAGGTTTCACAAGTTTTTACCATGGAAAACAGAATCAGTAACTTTTACACAGCAAACTGTTGAGATAGAGTCTATCACACCTTTTGTATGCAAACCTGGCATTCACAAAAAAAAAAGGAATCTTCAAACCACAGTGAGCTTTCAGCTGAAATCCTGTGAAATCCCATTGACACTCTGTAAAATCTTGCTGACAAGAAGCTTAATTATGGTAGGGGTCCCTGGAGAAGTTCAATTATGGTGGGTATTTTGGGGGCTACTTTAAACTAAAATGAAATGCAGAGGATTCTTGCATTTGCCACTTTCCTACTTTGAGTTCTAGTAACCAACTTTTCAACCTTTTCAATGCAGACTGTTATGTCATTATGGAGAAGCCCTAAGTAGAAAGCCCATCATGTAGTCTTAGAGAAAATCTACTCCTGATTTGGCTTTTCATCACTGATCCTTTGTTTTACATTGCTGAAGAAAACTATTCAGTGTGGCTAACATTCTCTTCTCCTAGCATCTCTTTCATTCCTGACTCCATTTCTACCTTGGTCCCTATTCCAAGGCCAATTTAAATCAAGTTTGCCTTTGTTGCCCAAAGGAAAAAACCAAACCACCTGTCAGAGAAATCAGGAGTCTCCCAAAACTAATCACAAGTCCATTTTATGGTCCTTGGTCAACCTGAAATCATCTGCCACAGTTATTTTTTCAAAAACCCAACTCTGATAATTTCTCCTCTTGCTTAAAACTTTTTAATAGCCCCTACTAGCCTAGAACAGACCCCTTACAGTGTTTTTTGAAAGATTTACAGTCTGTTCCATTTGTGCCTTTCTTATATCCTGCCTCTTTTATTTTTATCAGCAGGAAATAGGAGATTGCTCATTATTCACTAATGACACAGATTCTCATGCCTCCATGTCCCTGGCCTGTCTGAACTTATCTTTTAATGCCTAGTTCAGAAGTCACCTTTCTATGGGCTTCTCCCAAGCTCCCCACCAATATACCATTGTAGTTTGTGCACTCCTCTCTCATAGTGCTTGTTCTGTTGTTCTATAATGATTTACAGAGGCAGCCCAAAATCATGTTCAAATCTATATCCTCTGCAGTTCCTGCTGTGGTACCTCATATATAAGCATTCAGGAACTGTTGTCAAATGTTAGTGACCTCAGGCTCCCCTAAATCTCTAGTTCCGTAGTGAAGGACCGAGGTTGTTCCAAATCACAACAAATGAGACCCACCCAGATTCCAGTCCTAAAGTCAGAAAGCCCACCCAGGAATTTTTAGGCCTCTCAGACCCAGAGGTGGGGTAAGAGTTAATGGCTCTTCATCCTTCTTTGAATGCTCTTTCAAGTCAAATGACTAGTGTTTTTGCAAGGCTATTCTGTAACAGCCATCTGTGTCTGCAAGGATTAGGATCTAATTTGTAAAAGTCATCTTAAATTACAGCCAAAGTAAAGACTGTTAAAAAGCACATCTTAAGACCTTGCCTCTTTAATAACAAATACTCTAAGACTTAACTGTAGGAGTCTTATTGTGTCTTCAGCCTTTTCTCCACCAAGGAGAGGCTGATGTCTCACCAGAGGACTTATTAAATGTTCTTCAGTGCCCCCTGCACCCCCCCTTACCAAAACAATACTTTATGTTAAGATTTCCCAGCTGTCCAACTATTTACTAAATGTCTGCTGGGTATTATACTTCACTGAACTGAGCACTATGGGATAACCAGAATAATAGCAGGCACAGGCCTTCCCTAGGAAAGCCTATTGTCAAGTTGCTAGGAGTATTGAGCTATTTGTTTGGGGGTGTTTTTTGTTTGTTTATTTCCATTATGTTAATAACAGTTACCAGGAGAAGTAGTATTTACTTCCCAAGCTTGGGTCATTAAGCTCTACTTTTGCACATGTTAAAAACCATAGCCAATTTGCCTTACTTGGGAATTGCCCTAGGAGTGAGTCCTAAAAGCTAAGTAATGGCATTGACCTCACCACTAGTCACTGTGGTTCCTCTCTGGACCTATAATGACCCAGGCACGGGCCTTTCCCAGAAAAACTTGTCACCCATCTTACTTAGACTGAGGTTATCAGTATCCTCCAACCTTCCTCTTCTGTGTCACTACCTTATCTTCCTTTTTCTTTCCTTCTTCCTTTCCAACCCCTTCCCTTCTTTCAGATCATGTTTCACCTTTGTTATCTACTCCATCTTCTTTCTACTT